AAGGAAGGCCAATGATCGCCGCTATTTCGACGCGCAATGGAAGCCACGTGGCCGTCAGTGCCCCAGCTGATTCCTTGAGGGGCGTTGCTTTCAATCCCARYAGGACACAGCTCTTCTCCGCAGACAGCTATSTTCCCTGTCGGATCCTTTCCACGGCCGTAGGAGAGTCCGGGCTTCCCATCGACAGCCAAGAATGGAAGACGGTCSGACGATTCACCGGTAGCGGAGCGCKGAATATCTCTRATGTARKAGTTGGGAGACAAACGCTCGTTGCAGACGGGACCTGTTTCTACTTCTTTGATCGAGACAATTCGCGGGTGTGGGGGATCGATCCCTCGTCCTCGACCTCACCAACCGCTGCCACTCTCATCGCTGGATCTGGCAATAAAGCATATGCGGACGGGGATGGACTTGGTTCGTCGTTCGAGTGGCTGGGCGAGATCGTGGCCACTGCGGACGGATGCAATATCTTTGCCACTGATTTCCCTAACGGTCGCTTACGCTGGCTGAAGCTCGATTCCCCATGCAGCACGGCGCGCAGTGTGGAGACTGTGTCGAGAACGCCGAGAAGCGTTACTCAATTCTTGCGGGGACTGGCTCTTCATGAACAGGCCGGCGAGATGCTCTTGTACGTTGGAACCAGCGATGGCTCCTTGTTCGAGCTCAAACTTGACCGCTCTAATCTGCATGCTTGTGCATCCCCACCACCCAGCATGCCCGCAGATCATTTTCCTCCTGTCCCCGATTCATCCGACACGTGGATTGCTTCTTCGTCTTCTTCTTCTCCGTCTTCTTCCGCAGACAGGACTCCCTCTTCCGCTAAACAAGAGCCCCAAACGCGCTCTTCTTCTTCCTCGCACTCCGCCAATCTTGGTGTGATTGTCGGGGTGCCGCTCGTATCACTGGCACTAATTTGCGCTRTTGCCTGCGTGGCTGTCCTCTGTTGGARAGGCCGCCAGCCRGGCGGGGTCATCGGACGGTGGAGATCTCCGTCTCCAKTGATTACCGCGGGTGCATCTAGCACAACGAGGACGACTTGCKYGCCGTCTGGGTATGAAGGCCTTGAAATGGAGGGAGAGGKGCCTCGGCCTATGGAGATGAAGAGGTTCTCGCTCACACTGCTCTCGCACTGCACCGATGGGTTTAGCAAGAGCTATCGTATCGGGGACAGCGGGGCATTCGGTGACGTTTACTGGGGTTCGATAGGCGAGCAACAGGTGGCAATCAAGCTGATGTCCGGGGAGCTTACTCCCGCCAAGCGCAGTATGTTCGTCGCGGAGGTAAACACTCTGAGCAGACTCCATCACGCCAACCTCATCCGATTGCTTGGGTACTGCGACGAGGGGCCGCGATCCATCTTGGTGTACCCCTACTTTCCAGGTGGCAGTCTGTACGGTCGCCTTCACCGTAGGAAGAAAGCTGTTCCTGGTAAACCCGYTSTCCCGCCTCTGACGCTGGTCGAGCGGATTTSCATCGCCTTGCAGATCGCCAAGGGGCTAGCCTACCTTCACGACGGTGCCGACCCACCGATCATCCATCGGGACATCAAGAGCAGCAACGTGCTKCTCGGCGATGACTCCGGGGAGRGGCTGCATGTGGTRGTAGCGGATTTCGGTCTGGCAAGGATCGGCGAGAGGGTGTTCGGGACGGAACACGAGACAATAGTGAAGACCTCGCACATGTCAGGAACGTTCGGGTACATGGCGCCGGAGTACATGCTGTTGGGGGCCTTGACGGCGAAGACGGACGTTTACGCTTTCGGCGTGATCGCACTGGAGCTGCTCACGGGAAGGAAGGCCGTGACAAGGGCACCGGCTGGCGAGGGTATGCTGACGCTTGTGGACTGGGCGAAGCCTCTTCTAGGCAGCTGCCATAGGGGTAAATCAGGGGTTCTGCGGGACGAGATTCTGGAACCTTGCTTGCTGGATCAGGCGGCGGGATTGCCGTTCCGTAACATCGTGACTGAGATATTGTGGTTGGTGGGGGAATGCGTAGCGGAGGACTACAGGTCTAGGCCAACCATGAGCTCATTAGCCAGCACGATTGCCGGCCTACTCAATGAAGCCAACATCGGCTTGTGACTTCAGAGATGATGATGCTGGGATGTCGACCGGGGGGGCGAAACGGCGGATTGAAATTGAGGCATCAACCTTCAATCGTTGCTGAAAGCTGAACAGACTGATGTACGACGAGACAGTCACGTTTCTTGTTGATATCGAAAAAAGATGGGAGGGATTAGAACTCGCGGCGGGGACAGAATGATCAACACGATGAATGATGAATGGATGGAGTTCAAGTCGATGGATTGCTGAGTGGGTGGAAAAACACACTCGGAGGTATGGCGGATCCTCGTTAACCAWGTGGGGTAGGAAGGAGGAAGACAAGAGAGAGCGGTGGGGCTGAAGCGGATGGGTTGTGGAAGACAGCTGGCAGATTGTGGAGGACCCGTTATGTCGGGAGGAGAGCTGCAAGGAATTGAGGGCGGATAATAGGTTGCCGCGGGGCAATGCGCAGCCTGATGGGCAGTTTACCTCTTTTCTTTTGTAAGATGGGTTTCCGTATAAATTAATTTAAGAGAAAACTACGGCTCAGTCAGGGTTTGAGTTTGTAATTGCACTTGAGTCAAAAGGGCCGGTAATGCTGAATGTATATGACCTACGTTTCGGGACCCGTGGGGTCGCGTGGGGGTGTGTTGTATTCGCCGTATTGCCTGAAGTGCAATTACAAACTGTTTTTTTTTCTTTTTCTTTTTCTAACAATGCATTTATACCAAATTTAATCAGTAGAGGCTGGGGACCTCACAATTCAACCCGGAGTTATCCTGGCAGCATCAGCCAGTTTAGCTTACAGTCTAGGACTGCGGCCCTACCATTCCTACTGTTCTCAAATTCTCAGACTTAGACTTTATAGCACGACCTTACCTTTCCCAAGCTTTTCTGTCCGTCTCAGATATCCAGCCAACTTCCTTTTAATTTTAACTGCCTATTACTTCGTCCAGACTGCCATTCTACGTCCTCTGTTTCAGTCTTATGAACCCAAATGCAAACCATTCTACATCTCTGTTCCTACTGTAACTACAGTACAGAGGCCCACCCGGCCTCATACCAGCCTATCTCCGCTGGTTGGAACCTAGGTTCCTAGTAACAGTGGTACTCTGCCACCCTCCTCCCCTATGTGACCTCCTGYGGTCGGCACCACGAACCGAGTGCCCTGGTTCGTACCTCTTTAACCTCCTAACTTCCCTCTTGGATCCATCTTGAGAGAACCAAGCCTCTCTCCTCATGAACTGCCACCAGCTGGTTATTTTTTGCCCAGGTTCTCAGGAACCAGTACAGTTGTTCCTTACTGCCCTTCCCTTGCCTTGCTTTCCTTCTCCAGTCCACCCTAATTGCCTGCTTCAGGCCCCTCCTTATCAGTCTTTTGATTTCTGTGTCGGCCAGGGTTCTATTATAGAAACTGGCCTTGTTTCGATCCGTCCAGATAATCTCACAGATTAGGCCTCGCACTGCATGGGCTATATAGCCCCAGCCCTTTGTGCCTTGGACACCTTCAGGTAGAAAGACGAGTAGAACCCAGGCTTCATCCCACTTCACCCCCTTCCCCCGCATTTGCTCCCAATGTATCTGCCACCACTTCCACACCCGTTTTGAGGCTGGGCATTCCCACCACAGATGGCGGGTCGATTCGTACGGCCAATTGCAAAGCACACACCTGAGATCTGTTTCCATCCCTCTACTCCCCAGCCACACCGCAGATGGGGTTATAGCATCCACAGGATACTCGTCTGTTTTTGTGACTGCGCCGAAGTTACCCCTTAATTTAATCACTTTGTTTTAGTTGCTTGAAATCCCCGCGCACTGTGTATGATGGCCGCCACAGCCCAAACGTGTGGTGGAAATGACAGAGGAAGGCGACGAGGGAAACAGCTCTTTTCGCGAATAGGTCTGTAAAATGTATGTCATGTACCTGCCTTCTGCGGTGGATCAGGTGCGTAATATGTACAGGGACGTGTGTATACAAGCGGGGTGGGGGGGGACTACTCCCGATGCCGTAGCGGTGTTTAGTCTTCGTTGCGAGTATTTGGGTGTCGTTCCACTACTCGCCATCCTCATGGCGAGTGCTGACTTCGTTCCACTGGGTCGCAAATAGCCACAAAATGGACCCTGTCAGAATTTCGGTCTGAAATCGCTTGGCGATGGGTCGCCAAGACCTTCCATTTCCCCTGCCTGCAAGGGCCCGTCGTGGAGGGCGCTACTCCTCACAAGTGTGGCAATTGGCCCTGACACGGCGGTCCTGACAGTAGACCTGTGTTGTCCCGTAGTGTTGGCGAGTTTTCGCTGCACCTGGAATGGAATGATTTATTTATTTTATTTTATTTTACTTTTTTTTTTTTGCACAAAGACAATTTGAATTGGAGCCGGGGACCCCACAGTTCTACCTGGAGTTATCCCGGCAGCATCAACCGGTTTAGCTTGCGAGCCAAGGCTCACCTTCCAACCGAAGAAAGACTCGAGGTTGCCTAAACTATCATGCACCCAATCAGTGGATCCCACACAAAAGCCTACCCCTAACCAAAAGGTATTATATCATGAGCAGCAAGCTACCWCTCCTTTTTCTTTATACTTAAGAAGCCAACACCCCGTGACCCACTCCCACTYCCCTTCGTCAGGGTGGGGCCAAGCTTATGCTCTAGGGGTAACTTATCTCAAAGCCAGATACAAAATTRCAAAACCATCTGCACCATATCCAAGCAAAAGGAACAAGAAAAATCTCACTTGCCTAGCGACAAATGAATACTAAAACCAGGTCTTCTTTGTTACCGGCGGCCTAAAATGGCCTAGAATCATGAAATCAGACTACCCTTCTCCTCCGCAAGCTAAAAGATCAGGCCTGAGTTGCAGCCAGTTTGCAAACTTCAGGGGTCCTTCAGCTGAGATTGACACCCAACGGCTGTTTCTCGCCCATGTCTGAAGAAACCAGTATCGACTTTTCCTGGTCTGTCTGCGAGCTGCCTGCCAGTCCACTCAAATTGTCTGTCTTATCAGGGTTTCGATCAAAGCAATCTGGTTTTGGARGGAGACCGTTTCCTGTTTGAAAGTCTCTTTGAAAGTCGCTTTATTACGGGCCTTCCACAGCGCTTCCATGATCGCCCCTTGGCAGGCTAGAGCCACATAAGCCCACCCCGTTTGGAGGTCTGTTTCCTCTTTACGTTTTCCGTAGAGCATCCACTCTTGCGTCCACCGGAAGGTTCCGTCTGCAACAACCTTCCATCGTTCTCTCCACCACTCCCACACTTGGGTCGAGTACGGGCAGAACAGCCAAATATGGGAGGCCGCTTCCCAGCCCCAGTTGCAGCGAGCACATTGCTTGCTGATATCCGTACCCCTTGTCACCAAAGAGGTAGCTGACGGCGTTACCAAAAGAAGTTGAAGCCACATCAAGCTGGCCTGTTTCTGAGAGCTCAGCCACTTCATTGCCTTCCACAGGCCAAACAAGTCCAGATTTCCTAGYGTGAACCCCGGTTCTTTAGCTAGGCGCTCTGCAGCAGTCCTAGCCGGCTGTTTCTTAACTCTCGCTCTCAGAACTTGGACCCCGATTTTAGATTTATGTAATACCACCAGTATCTGAATTCCGGATAGCGGCCCTGTGACGCCCAAACCTCACGCCCAGCGCGACTTCCTGATTGGAGTAGGATGGGGCCCCGAAGGTGCGAAAAGGGGTGTGCCAAGGATTTTAGGAAAGTGGGGGTGGAGTCCCAGGTCGGAACTGAGATCTCCTGTGGCAAGTTTCGGAGGTAAAAGCGCAAGAGGGTATGTGCGGGCCGTACTTGGCGCTTAAATTTCCGTAAGAAGGAAGGCAGGCCACCTAGGCGAATGGATGCAATCCCCAAAACTATCACAAAAAGCGAGACTTCGTTTTTTGGTAAACGCAACACTGGATTGTTGGAACGGAGAACTGTCGGTAGAGCTCGTTGGGGACAACTCCAGGTTTTCTAGGTGAAAATGCAAGTCGATGGCCCGTTCGGCGTCCATAGCCTGGTTCATGCGGTCGTTCGTTGAACCGTCCTTTCCGTCGTCATGCAGCCGTCGGTGTCATGGACGAGATTTCCGTTAGGAAAATCGATCGAAATATCCGGTGTGGAGTGAACAGGGAATTCGAATTCGTCTCCACACCCTGCAAAAAAGTCGAGATAACTGTAAGCACGAATACTAAGAATATGCGTCTTTGACCCCACACCACCTGCCACCACACCCCCCTTAACCGCAAACTCCCCCGCCTCCCCACATACGACGTGCGCCAACATCCGAACTTGCCTGAGTTTGGAATCGTTTGACTGTGTTGATTGTATGTGCCGAAGGGCATCTAAATATTTCTTGCCTCGACTCTGGCCACAAAAATTGCATCGATAGAGAAGGGAGATCTCCTTTCAGCTTTTGCTTTTTATAATTTTTATAGTTGGACGTGCGATACCATCGAGGGCCATGCGAGTATGCGCAGTACATAGTACGCCATCACTATGACTGCTTGCGTACTCATGCATTGCTAGTCGACGTAGTCGTTATTAGGAAACTTGCGTCCGCACGGCATTTATATGTTGTCTAGCGGGGGACGGGCAAACGATTTTCCTGACATTTGGTTATGGGTCTTACACCTATGGACCAGGCGTGTTTTGAGTATGTTGATTCTATGTTTTTCGGCGGTATGTGACGCGTGGCAAGTAGGATGCGTCGTAGCCCCCCCCCCCCAATAGTGCCCAGATCTGTGCACGGGTCCGATAGTGGCGTGGGACCTCGCGTATCCCTAATGCCAAAATGTATGATAAACGCCGACAGGCTGGGCGTCATCTACGATTGTAACATGAAGGCGTGGTTTAGGCGAGTGCAAGGAACGGTCCGACGGTCCTGGATCCTCAAAGTGCGCCAGGATCCGAACTTGTCGGTCACAGAGTCCACGACGAACTGATATTCCTCGGTTGCAATGTAATGACTGTCGGACAAGCGTTATCAGAAATGCAAGGCTATGAGTGGTCGCAGATAAAGAAAAACATGGTTGATTGACCCTCAAGCGACCCCTATCAACCCCGATTAACTCCACCCCCAAGGCGAGCATGTGTAGTGGCACTGCAAGACTCTGCAGTCCACGCGGCTTCGAAACCTGGTCCACTGCTTCCACGCAGAAGAAGGAGACGAATGACCACAACAGCGTCTCAAACGATTATAGGTCGAGGAGTTGCGGCAGAAAAAACAGCCCATGGTCGAGATTACTATGGCGGCAGCAAGTCCATGTCTGGTTGCGAAAATGGAAATCATGGTTCGAGCTCCCTCAAGTGACCCCCTATAAACCCCGATTAACTCCAGCTACAAGGTGCGCTCGTGTGCTGGCAATGCCCCTTATGCATCCCCCACAAACCCCCATTCTTTAACTCTAGCGACCAGGCGGCAGTACAAAAAACGACCAGAGCTCCAAGACCCTTACGCATCCCCCACAAACCTCCATTCTGCAAATCGACAACGCACGCACCGTGACGCATGTGTGCTCGCAATGCCCACTTTTGGAGTCCTTGCAACGGTTGTGC